AGAGAGCTTTAGATAGAAAACAACTACTGGAGGACACAACAAAAGAAAACAAAAAGGTAGTAAATTAATGCAGATAAATTCTGACGATAAGAAAGTGAAGATGCAAGAAATAAACAAAGATCTTACATTTTTCTGTATTTTAGTAAAGTTCAGAATTGCTTGATAGCAAATATTAAAATGTACTTTTATCTTTGGCTGTTACGATATATATTAGAAAAGTACGGTAAATCTATAAAGGGCTTTAGAAGTAATAGATTCAGTTTTGTGTCATCTGAAAACCACAGGTGTAAGAAGATCAAGACGCTGACTCTGTCACTGAAATCATCTTTTGTTTCAAGCATGCAGCCTGTTGGATGTATCGGATGAAAGGAATCAGAGGATGGAAGATGTAAAGCAGTTTTATCATGAGAGGGACTAACATAAAACAGATTCCTGTGTAAAGTTTCCCTTCTTATGTGACACAAAGCAGGAACGGTGAAGAGAAAAGAGGAAAAAAGGGAGAAAATAAAAAAGTGCATAGCAACTGACAGTTTTAAAATACAGAGGGCGAGAGAGTACAAAGGTGAGACAGGAAAAAAAAAGAAACAAAATTGGTGCCTATAATACAGGCAGTTTGAAGCATGAAACAAAGAGTGAAAGACAGTGGAAATGGATGAGAGCAGTGAGGGGAGAGATAGAAAAAGAGATCTGACTTGTCAGGAACAGTGCTATTAATACTTCATAACCAGCGGTATTGAAAATTCCCAGTGAAGCGCAGCGAGGGCGAGCTCATTTTGTTTGATGAGGCAGGGCTTCACGCGGACGCGTTGAAAGCCGAGGCTGATTGCACTCCGAGCCACCTTTCTTCTAACGAGATACCTACAAGGAGGGACGACAGGAAACGGCCGAGAACAAAGGAACCACCGGGGACAGAATTACCATAGTTACTCGTGAATCACATCCCATCATCCGTGCATCCAGCAGACAGCAATTTGTTTGGAGGAATGGATCAGGTTTAGGCTGATGGCTATTTAAATGACGAACTTTGATGAAAATAAGAACCGCAAAGACTTTGGATGAAAAATCAGCATGTCACCTTACAGGAAGTCAACAGAAACAGAATGTTATACGAGATAAAGACCTTTGAATCGCAGCAACAACAAAACTATTAAATCAGCAAATAAGCTCCTGGTGTTTATCAGTTCTTGTCAAATGTTTGGATTTATTAATTTTCGTTAATGTTTGAGGATTAATGACTCATTCATACCACTGTTTTTGCAAAAACGACGAAATGAAGGATTAACAGGTTGTTGTCCTTCTTTTCTATTCTTTTTAAATGCACGCAATGCTGCAGCCCCACTGGCAGCAAAGCAGACCCCCAGCATAATGCTACTACCACCATGCATGACAATATTTACTCATTTAAACCTAACATCCTTCATCATGAACATGTTGGGAGGATAAAAATAAATTCACTTTTACAAAAGGTCAAACACAGGTACAATATAAAGTGAAATGGTTTAAAAGGATATGAGAAAAGGAAAGGATAGCAAGAATGTGGTTTAACTGGTGGAGTAGGTTGTGGGTTCCAGTTTCTTCCTTTTATATTTTTCTTTGTCTAATGATCTACATATAGTTATTTAAAAAAATTTGTACTGTGTACGGGATGCCATGTTGGCCAATACGGTGACTGTGCAAACGGTAAATATACAGTATGTCTTTACAGCAAATTGAAAAGGGTTCTGCAAAATTAAAAATGAAACATATTGATTTATTGATTCTTTAATTGACTTTATTGATTTCACATTGGAGAAATTTACTCGATTCATCAGCTCAATAGTCAAAAATAAGAAGAAGGTGCCAAAAGAAGGTAGAAAAGGTGAATTGGGGTATATAGAGTGCATTTTATAGTGCATCTCTATATACAGAGATGGCAAAAGTACTCACTTTCCGTACTTGA